GACTTGGAATCAACCCAAATGTCCATCAGTGACAGACTGGATTAAGAAAATGTGGCACATATACACCATGGAATACTATGCAGCCATAAAAAAGGAGAGACATTTTAAATATATGGATATCATTATCGTATACAAAGATATGTTAGACTTATGTTACTATTGGTATATACAAAACAGTTAATGATTAACAACCAGCTATCAGATAAGCAGCCTGATTTGTAGCACTGGCACTTTTCATACTGTAAATGCGCCCACCATGGCTGCAAATGTGAGATCACTGAACTCAGAGCTTGGAAGAGAAACCCACAATTGGCCTTCAAGCAAGTCTCAGCTGACTTTCCATCTCCAACGACTCACGGTTTTAAGTTACAGATTTAAAATGTAGTAGAAATGAGCATCCTTCTTTATCATTTGTGGAAATGTGATGTGTCACAACACTTTGAAAAATAATATAGCATTATCTACTAAGATTAAAAAGTATGTGAATATATATATACACACACAAATACATATACACATATATATAATACATATAATTTTCTCATAGCAATTCCATTTTTAATTACTAATTTTTAAACAGTAAAGTACAGTTATTTTAGTGATTTATATAATACTGTAATAATGTCTCAATATGTTTCAAGCATTAGTCTAAGTACTTTTTTGTTTGCTAACTTGTTAATTGTAACCAGAACAATGTGGTATGTTTTATTAATGTACCCATTTTACTGGTTAGGAAATTAACATACAAAATATGCTACGAATCACACAGCTAGTAAATGGCTGAACTGAGATTTGAACTCGGGTGACATAATTCACTACACTCACTGCCTCTCATGAGCATCATGAGGGTAAATATTAATTTGGTGCCAAAAACAAATGAACAAACAAACAAAAACAGAGTATAGTTAAATCAATGGTGATCCATTATTATCTTACATTATGTAGCTATTAAAATTATTTGTTCTTAAAACTTTTAAAAACACTTAAAATGTTATAACCTTCTATATTTAACATTTCGTTTTGTACTGTATGACTTAAGTTTATAACAAAAACTGTTATTGCATTTAAATTCAAATGTTCATTCAACTTTTCCTAATGCTATTCCTTCCTTTTGATGATTCACATATGTACTTCTGTTTTATAATTTTATCCCTGAAGTGCTAAAAACTCGTCAGTCCCTCAGTGATGAGTAGTCCATCATGCTGGATAGAAATTGTTCCAGATGTCTTTACAAATATTTTAAAACTAGACACCAATTCAGAATATTTCACTTTCCATTTCTATTAAGAAGTTAACTATTTTTAATTGCATAATTTAAAAAGCCAGCTTATAAATAGCTTCCATAGCAATATGACTTTATAAAAAAGATATTGTCCCTTTTCTTCACATCTTCAATTAAACAGAAAAAGGAATTTTCTGTGTTTTTGAGGAAGTCTGAGTGGCCCTCCCTAATACATTTTGCTTTTTCCCATATCCACAGTTTTCACTCTGGTCTATGCCACATGACATTAAAATATATATACACACATACAGACACACACATAATACATATAACATATAATATATAATTATAATATATACAATAATAAATTATTTTTAAAATCTGCAGAAATGTAAATAAAAGCTTATAAACTTAGCTTCAAAAATCAGATCTACATGTCTATCTACATATTTCTAGCTAAATACCCCTAAATATATATCTATTTAGGTATCTATCTATATACATACACATTCTATGTCAGGTGATATATCTCTAAGAAAGGCAAGAAAATGACAAGTTCATGACACATTTTTTCATATTAGCTTCTTCAGAACAGCTAATTGAGGTTATTTTCTTTTTAGCCTCCCCTGCTATCTCTCTGTTCTGCTGTATGAGCAAGTTTACAATGCTTAGGAGTCATTAAAGGCACAGGACAGTTTCAGAGTCTAGATGCTTTAAAAAAGAAAAGGCTATTATTTTTTAGAACAGTTTTAGGTTTATAGAAAAATTGAGAGGAAGGTATATACACCAATGTCTCCACACATGCACATCCTCCCCACTTAACAACAGCCCTAATCAAAGTTGTACATTGGCTACAATTGATGAATCTACATTGAATGATAATAATCACTGAAGTTCATCCTTTACTTTAAAGATTACTCTTGGTGCTGTACATTCTAGGGGGATGGACAAATGTACAATGATATCTATCCAACTTTGTGGTATCATCCAGAGTATTTTTACTGACCTGAAAATATTTTGTGATCCTTCTATTAATCCCTTTTAACCTGCCTTTACCACCATATCCCTGACATCCACTGATCTTTACACCATTTCCCTAGCTTTGTTTTTACCAGAATATTATATATTGGAATCATCCAGTATGCAGCCTTTTCTTAATGGTTTATTTTGCTTATAAATATGCATTCAAGATTTCTCCATATTTTTTATATTTTTATAGCTCATTTCTTAACTGTTATTTCAAAAGCATAAGCTTGTCACTTAATATGGGACTTTTTCTGATCTTCCCTTCTAGCTTTTTTCTCAAGTGGTACTCCCATTCTTCTTACTAAGAAAAGAAAAATGTTTTCAGGTCATCTGTGTGTCCAGTCTCAGGATATGAACTATACATAGTATAATTCAGAAGTGAATACCACATTCCCCTTTGACACATATGGACTTCCTCAACTTTCCTTCCTATCATGCTGACTCAGGTGATACAAGTCTGGAAGGAGATGGGTGGGAGAGAACTCTGAAGAGAGTATCTTCCCAGAAAAAAGTAGAAAGGATCAATAAACATAAAAGAAAATCTAGTTTTGCTAACCTTTCTGCCTGCTGCATTCAGACTTGAAATGCAGTTGTGACTCTTAATGGCCATGGTATACAACTAGCTCCCAGCTGATAAGGCATTGGGAAAATAACCACATTTCAGAGAAGAGAGAAGTATAAGGATAGAAGGAACCTAAGTCCCTGGTGATATAATTGAACTGTCAAACCAAACACTGAGCCACATAATTCCAGAAATTTTATTGCACTTCCACTAATAATAACTACAATAAATGTCTGTGTTTTATAAGCATATAAGCATGTCTATGTTATATAAGCATATAAGGATATCTCTGTTGTATAAGCATATAAAGCATGTCTGTGTTTTATAAGCATATGTTTGGATGTTCTGTTATTGTTATCTATATACCTTAGCATAAATTTCAGTTATGGGGATATTAGCTGATATCTAGTGAACAATTACTCAATAAATGATAGCCATGAGGAAAAACACAACCAATTAGGCAACGATTCTTTGTCGTTAGTGTACCTTAGAATCCCCTGAAGAGCTAACTAAAAATGCAGATATTCCACTTCCATCATCTGAGATTTTCATTCAGAATATCTGAGGTAGGGTCCAGAAATACGTAAGTTTAATACATACCCAATGTGATTCTGCTGCAGTTATTTGCTGGATCCTACTTTGAAAAAATACTTCAGTATAGGCTAAAAATTATTGGATCATGGTTAATACATATGAATAATTTAGAGTTCAAATAATATAGTGAATAAAAACAACCTATTCTATCCCTTTCCCCATCTATAAGGATATTATATATAAACACCAAGGGCAGGAGTGCCCTGATGAAGAAGTGAATGACACAGAGCACTCCAAGACTATCTGACACATTTTGGATGAGTTTTTTACTTCATAAATTTACAGAAGAAATTTAAAAGAAATTGAATACTCACATTAGCTTGGATTATGACAAAGTAGCGAGTCTTATCTTCATAGTTGAGTCTCTTCCTTAACACTATATTTCCAGTCAACATTAGGGGAATTTCAAAGGTGTCATTGGATGTCTGCAAATATTAAAAATACAGACTTCAGATTATTTGAATGTAAGATAAATTAATAACTCAATATTTTAGTTTAATCCTCTTGGAAGTTACAGATGGCATGCTTACCATCTGAAAATAGAATGACTATAAGCTTCAGAGTCAATATTGTTATCATATTTACAAACATTTAATTTTGATCAATAGGTTTCCCCAGAGTCCTTTGGTAATAATAACCAGAAAATTTGTTTCTTATCATAGTTTTTAATATATTATTAGTATTATTCATCAACAGTCTTGGAATAGTTCTAAATCAAAGTCCAGGTACCTGAAAAACTTCCCTATTACCATATTATCTTTTCACTGTTTTTTTTTTTTACCACCAAAGCATTCAAACACTGAAATCTGTTATTTCTACATAGTATCAATTGTCAACATTGATATCCACTCTGTATTTTAAGTATTATCAGGCATTAAATTAAAAAAAAAAAAAACACAGTTACAAGTCACTTAATGATGGGGTACATTCTGAGAAATGTGTTGTTAGGTGATTTTTGTCATTGCGTGAACATTATAGAGTGTAGTTTCACAAACCTAAAATAGATAGTCTACTGCATACTAAGGCAGGTGATATAGCCTATGGCTCCTAGGCTACAAACCTGTACAGCATGTCACTGTACTGAATGCTATAGGCTACGGTAACACAGAGGTCACTATTGTCTGTATAAATGTAATCTAAACATAGAAAAGGTATAGTAGGAAAACAACATTATAATTTTATGAGACCATCATTTGCTATGTGGTATGTCATTGACCAAAATGTCATTATGCAGAGCATGACTGCACGAACTTGAATCAGTTCGTTATTGTGAAAAAAAAAAAAAAAATCCAGGTTATACATCAATTTTTTCTTTCAGGTTCCACAACTTCTGCTCATTAGTTAAGTTTTCTGCCCTGTCTAGGATTGAGTTTTTTCCTGGTAGCACGGAGGTCACAGAGCAACACTAGTGCTCTGGTATAAGCAGCCCTGCGTTAAATGAATTCACAAGTTAAGGGACTATAATTTAAAAGATAAATCTCTTATTCTTAAAAAGACTTTATGTCACTTTTGTATTTTAGTGCCATTTTAAAGAATGATGAAATTGTTTCTAGATAGGTTCAATACATCAGTGCTATTTCGTTCATTGAAACTGTTTTGTGGTTGTTCAGTTGTCTTGTGCATTTGTGCTTGTGATTTTTGTTCTGGAAATCACATTGAGTAAAATATATAGTTTGGAACTGCATTAGATTGCTGCAAAAGCAAGAGGAGGGGGAAGAGAGGGAAAGAAAAATGAGGGGAAAAGGCAAGGGGAAGGAGAAGAGAAAGGGAAGGGGAAGTGTGGAAGAAGAAAAAACAGAACTGCATGAGTGTGTGTGTGAGAGAGAGAGGAAGACAGAGAGAGTGTGTTTACACCCTCAACTTAGTGTAAGTGTATTCTTAAGAGTCACATAAGAAGTTAAACTCAATGAAAAAAAATTTGATTCAAATCTCCCAGCTCAGGCTCAATCAATGAAATATGCGTAGTTTAGCCTTCCATGTCTAGAGCTGTGATCTTTCTTTCTTTCTCTCTTTGTCTCTCTGTCTGTCTCTCTTTTTCTCTGGGGTGCATAAAGACACACACACACACTGCACATTTTGCAGAATTAATATATATTTTTAAATGATTCATTCTGCGTTCCTCATGTAATGGGCCTTGCAAATCTTTCTTGGATGCAGTTATTTAAAAGCAACAATTTAAAATATAAATACAGAAAATGAAAATGAACAACACAATTAAAAACAGACATTTGACATTTTCCCTAATTTTTTGCCTATTCAACGTTGCTTATACCTATGAGTGGGGCTGGCAATTATGACAGACGAGTGTAAAAATGATTGAATCTAAATATGTAAGTTGAATATGGGCAAAATCTTGGTTAATAATTGCTCTTTACACTGTTAAACCTATCCTAATGTGTTGTTATGAGGTTATTACATTTTAGTGACTCAATAATATAGAAATACATATCAGTTTCTAGCATAAATATGGAAGATACTGTCGTCTTAACACAAAACTACAGGACTCAGAACCCCAAGTTAGTTCACATATCCGGTGACATTGTGCCTCAGAGGAGGCTACATCTCTAAATGAGATGAGTCTTGAATAGTCTAGCTTAAAAACAATTCCATTCATTGTAATTCCATTCTGTTTTACCAGGAATCATTTTGCAGATGTACATGTGATTCCATTTTGAGTAATTAAAAAATTTTATCTTAATTGCAAAGATAGAGAGAAGCTAAAAATCCCTTTTCAAGTTATAGAAGTTTCTGTTGGGATATAAAATGTAGAACTTCAACAGTTCTAAACAGCATTTGGGGACTATTTATAAAATTAATTATGGAGAAATAGCTAATATGCTAGTGAGAGCAGAGCATAAAATAAAAAGAGCCTGGATCTGTGTTGTCTTTGCATTACTGAGGAAATCTTGATATTACCCCATGTCTGAAAAACTTATTGTGATACATAATAAATTATCTTTTTGTTTAAATCATCTTTAGTTTTTTGCATATATAGTAATATATATAGTATGTATGTATATATGTTTTATATATAGAGAGAGAGAGAGCGAGTACAATTTCTGCAGCTGAAAGCACTTTGATACATGATTATTCCTGTCTCTATGGCTTTACACTGTAGGCCTCTCTCTTCTCCAGACAGGCCATGGCTCTTCACACCTGATATTTGCTCTTATTTTTCTCTTGCTTAAATATCCTATCACTTATTTCTCTGTGTACTAATCTTTGCAAACTTTACTCAGTGAAACCTTTTAAATGTAATTTAGACTTAAGTCTTTGATGTGATCTCACATTATTTTTTTCCAAAAAAACACGCTTATTTGGGATCTTCTGTTTTGCTTGACAGATTCCTCAAAGGTCTCAGTCTCTGATGCAGAAATACCTATCCTTATATCTCTAGCTAAGCAACTTAATGAATCTTTGCAATACCTTTTTTGTTGCTGACAGTTTTCATTGAATGTTTATAGAATTATTAAAATTAATAGTTATTAGTGACTTTATTGATCTTCAGAGCACTTTCAATTGCACTGAATTCTTATCATCTTTATCTATTCTTTAGAGATTTTATAGATTCTTAGATTTTAATTTTACTTCATTTATTTATTTATTTATTTATTGAGACAGATGGAGTCTTGCTCTGTCACCCAGGCTGGAGTGCAGTGGCACAATCTCAGCTCACTGCAACCTCTGCCTCCTGGGTTCAAGCGATTATCCTGCCTCAGCCTCTGAGTAGCTGGGACTACAGGCATGTGCCACCACACCTGGCTAATTTTTTAAATTTTTTTATTTTTAGTAGAGATGGCGTTTTAACATGTTGGCCAGTCTGGTCTCGAACTCCTGACCTCAAGTGATCTGCTCACCTTGCCTCCCAAAGTTCTGGGATTTCAGGTGTGAGCCACTGCCCCTGACCTAGATTTTCATTTTATTAGCACTTGTATTCTATATAACATAAGGATAGGATTTACTTTATGATCAATGGTGCTTCTGAAATGTTGCATATTGAAAGTCACTGCATTAAATTTAATTCATTAATTAAGCAATTATTGAGTACTCATTCTTTCTCTAAACATAGAATAATAGTCAAGAAAATTAGAAGTAAAATGTAGATATATCTTTATGGTAGTCTTTTTCCTCTAGTAAAAAGAATA